TTGCTATTGTTGTAAGGATTGACACCTCTGAACTTCTGAACGGCAAGTTGCAAGGAAACACACTTTTTTCTTGTTAATGGCAGCACTGCCTGTTCAAGCTCAGACGCCTTTGGGTGGCTCTACAGCTTCCAGTTAGGCTAGAACAACCTCCCAAAATTGACGAGCTAGGACCCTGCCACAAACTGACGAGCTAGGACCCTGCCACACTAGTTGCAAACGGTTTGCACAGTTGAGGTCCTAGAGCAGAAGCTTCATGTGTTCTTCTTCGAAGGCAAAGTTGGCAAAGGCAAGTTAGCTTGGGATCAGTTATCCAATCAGGATGCTGTCAAGGAGGCGCGCAAGGATACTGGCCTTGGTGCTTCCCAGACGGTGGAAGTAGCCTACTTGGAGAAGGAGGGGCTCGAGTATGAAGAGCACGATATTCGAGAGTTCAAACAGTTCATGAAAGAACATCGAGGCAAATGATTTCCACAAAATGATTTCAATTTATGTACAAATGTTTTTGAACATCAGATCCGACCGCGAGGTAGAATTTAAAAAAGGGAGTGCTTGCCAAGCATCGCTGGCTTCGTTCTGCTTTGCACGGCACCTTTTTTGCACCTCCCGTCATGCTTCCAGTGCCTTTGAACGCCACTCCTCGCCACTCCTGACCGCCTCCACCGCTTGATCCGCTGCCGGAGGTGTGACGCTGAAGCCGCGGCTTCGAGGCCGAAAACCGCACGGACGCACGGTCGAATGCGGGTCCCGGGTGGAAGAACTGAATGCGGGTCCCGTGGAACACACGAACGCCTGAAGTCGAAGTGGAGTTTAAGTTCCAACCACTTGGTGTTTTTGGTCCATTAAGCACCCCTGTGTGACTGCTGGTTGTTTTCCTTTCGAATGAATCATCCTTCCATTTCAACGACTTCAGGGACCGAGAGCTGACCTCGTGTCGTCCGACCCGGTCGGGCTGTCGGCATCCCTGGTGCTCGATCTCCGCAGCTCGCGAGGTTGGCTCTTCAGCGCGGCAGCGAGGCAGGAGGGTGTTCGAAGGGACCTGAAGACGTCGAAGGTGTAGGAAGGAAACCCAAGGCTAATTGGAGGATCTGTGCTTGGAGGGGTGGTGAACTCGCAGGTTTAACTGGCCCAGATGGCCTTATAAACTCATGTATACAGGTTGGTTTGTTTCATTGATACTTTTGTCATCCAAAGAAGCACGGCGTCGTTCTTCCAGCTTATTTGTTTACAGAAAGGAGTTCGGAGTTTGTATTCAGAGGGTCTTTGAATGAGTATCCATGACTGAATGGAAGATTGGATCTTGAAACCTGTTTTGGGGGAGGCCACCGGACACAGGTGGCATCCCGGGGCCTTGCGTCGCGTGCGATTCACTTCCACCAAAACATCACCATGGATCCAACGAAAAAAGAAAGAACAGAAGATATAGGGCCATGCAGGTATAGGGACACGTAGGGACAAGCACACTCCAACATCACCTCAAAGGCCTAAACCTTTGAGAACCAATCGATCATAATCGATCCATAGAGTATAGCAATCGCTTATGAAAGGAGTTCTTCGTCCCGGCTTGCGCCCGGCCATCCTCGAAGCTGTTGGCTGTGGCAGCGACCCGATCCTCCTTGCAAGCTCAAAGCGGAAAGGTACGGCATTTTTGGGGATGCGTACTACTGATTTGGCCGGGGGTTCTTTATCGGTCCAAATGTTTTTCCCGCTGGCAGGAGCGCTCCGCTCAGTGGCAGGGCGGTGAGGAACGCCCCAAAAGCATCGCACGCGAAAGCCCACAGCTGAGTGACTCGGATGCACACTCTTGGAGGGTGGCTCCTACATGTATCACAGTCCGCTTTGCAAACCTACTCAATATGGTTTAAATGCCACCAAGCTATGTATTGGGTGTTTGTTGTTTTTGCACAAATTACTGTATGTTTGATGGTCACTTGTGGCCAGGGGGTCAGGGATAGGTGGCTTGGTCAAAGCAAATGATAATCCTTGGGGTGGCCTGGTAGATACTTGGTCGAAGCAAATTCGACCCAACAACGACCATGGTTGTCGGGGAACCCTAATGCGCACATGGGATTAACCAACCCCCCCTATTAATCAAGCCCAGCTGATGCCAGCTGATTACCAACTAATTTGATCTCTGCAAACCTCCCCCTAATAATCACCTCCCCCTATTACCCGAATTGTTGTTCCGTGTTGTTGCCTTGTTTCGCATGCGGACGGGGCTGTCCAGGGTCCCGTCCAGCTGTTGGTAACTCCCCCAGAGTGGAGTTTGATACTTTGGGGAGGAGCAAATAGGAACCCCCGCCCTTAGGACTCTTGAACTATTCCGGAAGACTCTTGAACTGGGCAACTCTTTACACTCCCGAAAACCAACATGGACCCCCACAATGGACTCCTGCAAGCTTGTTTTTCCTCTATAGCAATACCAGTGGCAGTGGTTTTGGGGTTCCATGTGGTCCTCAGAGCAGAGGAGTGTGTTTGGTTGTGGGGTGAGTTCTCCTTTTGGGAGTCCTATATTCTGGGCATGAGGCATGATCCGATATGATCCGATGATCAGATTAAGAACTTTAACAACCGTTGTCTCATTTTGACTGTTCACAAGGATTCAAGACTGTTCAGGTGCACAAGGGTTGTGTAGCAGCGTCCATCTTGAATTTGCCCAAAGCATTGGTCTTCTAATGAGTGACTGCTGTACATTCTATCTAATTGCCACACCTGATTACCTGATGGCACTGGTATCTGAAAGCGATACGTTTTATATTGTAGTTAAATGCATTGTTCCCTGATCGTGATCCGGCGAAGAGGGGTCCGTACTCTTAAGACCCACGGATTCGAGTCATTTGCTCCTCCCACTTTGCGCACAGTGCACACAGCGCGCAGCGCACACAGGAGGTCTGCCAGTGGAGAGGCAGGATCATGGGAGCTTCTTGGTGGACTCTCAAGGTACTAAATGGGTACCCGCAAGAAGCGCTGCATGATCATTCGATGTCATTCGTATACTATATTGATGCCAAGCTAGAAGGACTTTTATCTACTTATGTTTACAGGAGTTACTTTCAATCTATACTTGATATCTGTTTAGCGTTTAGTATCACTCAAATACGTCATTACCGATGCTTCATTGAAGAATCTAGACTACTGCGTCTAGACCATTGGAGACCTACAAGATAGATGGAGACCTACTTCCAGGCAGCGTCCACAGCTCGCAGCTCCCGAACTCGAACTCGGCCGTCGGGCTCAAGGTGCCGGCCAACCGGCTTCCGGTGGCCGACCCAAAAGAACGACATGTGCATCACACAGAGGTAAAGGACCTTATTATATAATGTTGCACATGTTGGGTGGATGTGGTTTTTCGGCACACACGCCACAATACACACTATCAAGTGCTTCACTCCAACAACTTCCAGAAGACGACCTGAAGAGCGGCGATTGCAATGTCTGTGTCTCCTGCTAGGCGTGAGGTTCGGTTGCAGGCCAGGCCAGATGAGGTTGAGGAGGCTGAGGGCTTGCTGCCGAGCATCATTGGGTTGCTTCGGTCTGGTCGTTGACCATATTGGAAACTTTAAACTGCACGTACTCTAATGAGGTCACACCTAAAGAGACTGGGAGATTGTTCCCACACAAACCATTGAATTTGAAGTTGCATGTGGTCTCTTCAAGTCAAGAAACAAGTTTGTTCCCACACCCCTCATCGGTTTGGGGTGAGATAAAGCCATCCCGAAAACGACGGAAAACGTATTCTCCTTTCCCAAGCCACCGGTTTTCACGGTGTCCATGTCCCCTATCCAAGGCTTTCGGAGCCTCAGACAGTGGACACCGACACTGCGGACGCACCGGAGGCGACGGAGGCTGTGACGGCTGTGGCTCCAAGGAGACGATTTCCGTGGGCGAAGAAGCTCTTACTCGTCTACACCTTGGTGCGCATTGGCGTAAATTTTGGAGTGCTTCTGAGTTCCGAGCTGGAATGGCAAGGAATGCTTAACATGGTTGATGGACTTCTCAGGCCCCTCATCACTGGACTTGGTGTCTATTCCTTCATTGGGGACGACTTTCATGCAGACAACAGTCTACATGTGTGGAGTTGGCGATTGAGCCTGGCACTCGCTTCTTTCCTTGCAGATCCTGCTTTGCTGTCCATTCCTTCATCAACCTGGACCTTTATCATCTTATGTTGCTATTTCCTCGGTGTCGACCTGGTTCTGATTCATTTGGTTAACCTGAAACTCCATGCTGTTTATCCAGCCTTCTCACCTAAACTGGGCTCCGTTTGTGCTATTTGTTGTGCCGGTGCTGACGTCCTGCTGCTTACGTTCTTTGCGCCACTGTTGCGGTGGCCCATCCTTCCGGGTTGCACAGCAACAGTGATGGCAGCACAAGCTGGGGTTTTGTCCGTTGCAGCATGTACCAATCGATCCTTGAGGTTCGCGACGTTCTTGTATATCGCAACCGTTGTAGCATTCCTGGGGCGTTGTGTGGTCAACCTTCAGGGTGGACTTAGACACGCATATTTGTTCTTCACACCGGTCGACGCTCTGCGTGGACACTTGCGTGGACACTTGCGTGGACTTGATGCGCACTTGTATTTGTTGACACCCTATGTTCTCCTTCAGACCGGGACTTGGATTGCACTCAGTGGTAGGCAGGAGGTCTTGCTGCATTGGATGGAGCCGAAGAAGCTTTTACTCGTCTACACCTTGGTGCGCATTGCCGTAAATTGTGGAGTACATCTGGCATGGGTTGGACAGATTTCCGCATGCTGCGAGTGCATGTGGAGGACACACACTCGGTGTGGGTGTCGTGATGTTTGGGCAGTAGATCTCTACGGTGGACCATTCAGCATGAAGAACCCTGTGTACGAGCTCGCGAAGCTCAGACACTCATATGGCTTCATAGCTTTAGCCATGGTTGATGGACTTCTCAGGCCCCTCATCACTGGACTTGGTGTCTATTCCTTCATTGGAGACAACTTTCATGCAGACAACAGGCTGCATGTGTGGAGTTGGCGATTGAGCCTTCTACTGCTACTCGCTTCTTTCCTTGCAGATCCTGCTTTGCTGTCCATTCGCGATGCTTCACCAACCTTGATCAGATGCTATTTCCTCACTGTCAACACGTTTCTCATTCATTTAGTTAACTTGAAGCTCCATGCTTTGGGTTTCAAAAACACAGCCAGGTGCTCTCACATACTGCTCATGCTTCTGTTGGCTGCTGGAGTTGCCATTATGCAGCCAGTTGCCCTTGTGATGTGCACAGCAGCAGCGACAGTGCAATCTGTGTTTTTGTCCGTTGCGGCATATTCCAGCGCTGCCAGTTCAGGTGAAACCTATCGATCCTTGAGGTTCACAGCGTTTTTGTATGTGGCAACTGGCGTAGTGTTGCTGGGGCTTGTTGTGTTGGACGTTCAGGGTGAACTTGATGGACACCATGGACACGTCCATGGACACGTGTATTTGTTGACACCCTATGCTCTCCTTCAGACGGTCACCGTGCTTGCACTCAGCGGTATCTCCAGTTCATTGATGCAGCGGTTGCAATATTTGTTTGACAAACTTCTGGAGACTTGTCGACGTGGTCTTGGCAATTGTCGAAAAGGCCTTGTCCGTGGTCTTGGGGGTGAAGTGAGGGAGTCAGATTTTGCCATTACGGGCAAACGCATCACAGTGCTTGGTCACACAAACAACGCCTCACGCCACTGCATTTGTTCATTCCCTGGAAAGTATGGTGACCTATGGGATAATGCTGCCTCTTCTACTTCCTTCAACCGATATGCCTGTTCTTTGGCTTGTGTCTTCCTCACGGATCAAGATTCAGGGCTTGGAAGACATGCTGAGAAGCCAGATTTGCCAGGTGGTTGTTGGTGTCATACCATATATGGTCCCTTGACACCAGACGCCTATTTGAGCGAGGTTGAGGAGACTTCTTCTAGCCACGATGAAATAGCCTTCAAAAG